TTTTGGAACATTAATTATAGAAAACCAAGTGCAGCCAAAGCCGCACGTACTATTTGCAATTTCCACTAATTTATCATTGTAAAAAAAATAACTTTGATGCCTATTTCAGGGAAGAGATAAAAATCTTAACTCATTGAATTGGATTTCTAACCAATTTCAAGACCGCCTGCCAAGTAATATGTCAACAAAAGCAAGTGAAGAACTCATTGATATATCAGAAATTCTGGATCTCAGTTGCTGGGAACTATCCTTGCCTGTTTGATGAAGCTATAAAAGTCCTCCTCCCCTTTAGCTTTTTATATTTATGTGTGATCGGATTTTCGGCTATGATCAGGATTAAAACTAAATACTGCGATTTAAAGTAATTAAAATTAAAGTTTGTGCTAAAAATGTAATAACAAAAAATAGGAAATAAATACACCCTTCTCATAGAAATAACAGTGCTTGTGGGTATTTAAGTAATAAAAAATTCTAACTTAATGTTGTTTTTCCTTAAAAAGTCCTTCATTCATATCGATGACGCTTAAATTTCCATAGTGACTGTTTGGGAGCTAAAGTACAATATGTCATCTGTGAAGATAAAAAATTAATTTCAAATGAAAAAAAAGTACTTTAAATCAAAGAAAATAAACGCCCGAACAAGATAAGACAGGTGTCGTATGCGTGTTGCCAGTGATGACCTATGGAACTGGGACGTGGTCCTTCACTGCTGGCTGTATGAGGACGCTCAAAGTCGCTCAGCGAGCTATGGAGAGGGCTATGCTCGGAGTTTCTCTGCGTGACAAGCTTAGAAATGAGGAAATCCGCTGTAGAACCAGAGTGACCGACATAGCCCAATGGATTAGTAAGCTGAATTGGCAATAAGCCGGCCATATAGCTCGAAGAACCGATAACCGTTGGGTAAAAAAGGTTCTCGAGTGGCAGCCTCGTACCGGTAGGTGAAGTGCAGGGCGACCCCCCACTAGACGAAGTGACGATCTGGTAAGACATGCAGGAAGTCGATGGATGCAGGTGGCTCAGGACCGTGCTTTGTGGCATACCTTGGGAGAGGCCTATGTTCAGCAGTGGACTTGTGAAGGGCAGTAATGATAATGATGATTTGGCATTATTGTCGGAGCTCGATTGAGTAGCACGATCACTTGCGGAATGGCACACGATGCGGAGTTTTATATAACGGGTATGTGTCGGACTCCGTACCTTTGACAGAGGGATATGCCCTGCGATGCCGCCACCTTTGGTTTAATACTCAAAGGTGTTACCTATTTACATTTTATATTCTAAGTCTATGACATTCTTTGGTCTATATAGTCTGTGCCAGAAGCCGTAGGCAGCGTAAACAGAGAAACCTATAGACAAATTGACGCCTTCTTTCGCATACGTACACGAAAAATATAGATTTATGCTTATGTTGAGAAATGAGACAGAGCGGTGTGATTGTTTGTCCCTTTCTCCGTGCCTGTTTTTTTTTTGTTTAGCAAACTACACTTTGCTAAACAACTTTGACAGTTTGTAGCGATCTAAGGAGTTTACAAGTTGGTTTAAGTGAGAAAGAAAGTATTTTGTAAGCTTAAAATTGGTGAATCTTGTTCAGTTCAGTTCTTAGAACAATTAAATTTTTTATCTAAATATGTTTAAAAGTCATAAAGATTATTGTATAACCTAAAACTACGTTATCGTCTTTCTCACTCGAGGCCACGTTAATCATTAGTCTATAGGTTTCTTTGTCTACACCCGTCAGGCCGTCATGGTAAATGTAGTCTGTGGTAGGTAGGCATAGAGTAATAACTAAATTATATATATTTGAGGTGTAGCTTGCTTGACATACATACCTCCTACATATTTATTTATCTATGATTTGAGAGTTTGATACCGTAGGTACAAAACAGTTTTATTCATTTTATTTATCACAGGTGCATACAAACATTTGTACATTTAGAATTACTTTGAGTATAATTTATAATGGCCGACTCGACAGTGACTGACGTAAGCAAATTAAAGGTTGTTGATTTAAGGAAAGAGCTAAAATCTCGTGGACTCTCGTACACCGGTGATAAAGCTGAACTTGTGGCAAGGCTTCAAGCAGCCATCACCCAAGACGATCACGGCGACATAAACTTAGATTCTGATGAAATTGACTCTGATGGAGTCCTTGAAGACGAAGATGATAAAAGTCAAACAGATATCTTGGATGATACAGCAGTTGACACTTTAAACGAAGAATTGGCTCTGGAAGAACATTCCAAAACAAGTGAATCAAAACCACTAAGAACTCTTAAAAGGAAAATTACTCCGACAGAACTGATAAAAGATAAATCTTCTCAAGACAGTAAGGAAACAGGCTCTAAAAAAATTGTGTTAAATAGGGCTGCTTCATTGACAACCGTTCCCAAACCTACAGAGGATAGTGTTGAAATCAAATCGGAGGTGAAGCTTCCTATTAATAACAAAGTTAAAATAACTGCTGATATAGATCCTAAAACACGGTTAGAAATGAGAGCAAAACGATTTGGTCTACCAGTAAAAATGTCAGAAGATGAACGAAAGGAAGCCAGGAAACGGCGCTTTGGTCAAACTGCGTCAAACACAACAATTTCCAATAATACTATTTCAAGTTCTGGCTCATTACAGGAAAATTTAGAAAAATTAAAACAGAGAGCTCAAAGATTTGGGCAGTCAGTATCCTCAATTATGACAGATATTGAAAATAAAGAGAAGTTAGAAAAACGTAAAGCCAAATTTGGAGTAACAAAATAAATTAGGAAGTTATTACTAGTTACTGTGTACCTTTAATTGTAATGATAATATTTGAAAGTTAAGATTCAATATTATGCTAAATAAGCATATAATTTTAAGTGTAATAAAAAAGTAATACCCACATATTATTCGAGTTTTTATTTAAGATTATTATGTGAAGTAGACATAAAAATTACTTTGAGTAAATTATTAAAAGTGTAAACCTTTCTTATAAAAGGTAAGGCTAGCCTTATATTCATTTTATATAATTATGTTGCCTCCGGTGATTTTATAGGGGATGAAATACTGTGAACTAAAATGAAGAACAAAGTGACTCAGGACCGTGCTTTGTAGTGTGACCGTGCTTTCCTTGATGGAGGGGTCTATGTTAAGTGGACTTATAAAGGGCTATAATGATGGTGATGAATCATAAAATTATTGCTTTCATATTATAAAAGAGAAGTCAATTGTACAACTAACATTAAATTCTTAATATTTTAAAATGATTGAGACTAATAATTAAAATGACTGAGTTCAATCTCTGTCAATATCAATAAAATTTAATTTAATTTTTATTATGGAATAAGGGTGAATACTTAATGCTTGGTGGTAAAGAACTTTGTAAAGAAACCTGTATGCAGATGGCTCGGAGCGCAATGGCTTTGCATTGAGAGCCACACAAATAAAGTCTGTGACCTTAAAATAATTGTTCCAGGCCTGGAGGTATATCCTTCTTCAATTTATGTATGAAAACTGCCACCACGATACAGGAGAAAATTCTAGAGTGCCATAATATTTGTAATAAAAAAAGTAAAGAAAAAGTATGCCTGAGAAATCAAAAAGTAAAATAAAGACATGTAAAGTTCGACAAGCATTGAAGCAGCGCAGAAAACACTTCCTTGTCCTAAAACCCTCTCAGAAATGAGTGTAGGTAAATGCCAAGCATTTACCTACACTCATTTCTGAGAGGGAGGGTAAGCCAATTTTTTTAAAATGCCTACAGATGTTTGAGCATAATTGAATGAAAAATGGAGAAACTTTCACATTTACCTTTATATATTCATATTTTTCTCTATTCTAATTTTTACACTTTTTCCTGAACATAAAAAAAAATAATAAAAATCTGCACTTACATGCCTGCCTACCAAGGTGACAACCATGCCACACAACCCCATCTATGAGGTAGGCCCGTGTCTAACAGAGGATTATTGATAAGCTGTAGTGGTAATGGTATAGACCAAGATGATTCATATTTGCTGTTGTGTGTTGGCTTAGTGCCAAAGAAGGAAATTACCAAATCTGAACCCAATGGGTGGGATTTTATAATAAAAAAACCCAAGAGTGTTTTTGTTTTATAGGATGGGGGATACTAACGTTGAACAAAGGTTGGAAATGCATAAGGATGGCACACAATCCACCTGATGGCAAGCGCATGTTGTGGCCGATAGACATCTTTATTTATCCTGAGTTAAGAATCAAAATGCAGATGCATTGCCACCCCTGAGGACAAAGATGGACTGCCTTGTTTTGTGTAAAAAGGGTCTCTGATTCTCTACACTCACCATACAAAACACAGCAACCTTAAGCTGATATACTGTGAGACTATAGTACTACACAGCAAAGCATACCTCATCATGCAATAACCAATATAGCTATAGCATGGCTCTACCATGTATTTATTTTAGAAAAAACAACAGTAACAATTCACACCACCTATCAGAAAGGATAGATATATTTAAAGATGTATCTAAGGATTGCAATTTATATTACAATATCTTAATATATATAAATTACGTGTCACTTTGTTTGTCCGTGATGGACTCCCTAAACTACTCAACTGATTTTAATCAAATTTGCACACCATGTATAGTTTGGTCCAACTTGAAAGATAGGATAGTTTTTTTGCCCATGAGTGCCCACAATTTTTTTTTGCGAAATTAAGGATTTTTAACCTTTAACTACTGACCTATACGTCTCACAGATGTAATAAATTTTCATTTTAAAATATTTCTAAAATCACGCCACCGTTAGCGCCGCCCTTCCCGCTACCTTCCTCCCTCCGCGTCACAAGCCATCAGTCAACGCTGCGCCGGCGGCGATTGCACACATCTCCGTATTGAAGCGATCGACGTCTCACAGACGTAAGCACGGTGTTTATGTACTAAATTTCGTACGTCTCTTGGTCGTCACCTCGGTATTCATGTGTGGTAGCTTATAGTATCTGATTGACGTCACATCGGCTTTAAAATTATACTTTTAATCGCAGAATGCCTAAAAGGAGAAACGTCACGTCTAGTGAGCAGAAAATACCTGCAAAAGATGACGGTTCAGTTCCCGAGAGGCCTCTGAAACTTCGAAAACAGAATAGGCCTTTAGAAGATAAAGAGATATGTGAAAATCTTACAAACGAGAGTGACGACAACTGTAGTGATTTTGACGACGATGTAGGCGATCCTGATTTTATTTTAGAGAGCGATCACAACACGGAATCTGAACAATCCGATGAGGATGATGTTGACGTCACGTATCCCCATGTTGAGGAAGTTTACCACGGAGAAATCAACCATAATCACGACAATGAAGAACAGGAAAGAGAAGTACGAGCTCATGGAAGCCAGGACATTACAGAGCAGATCGGAAAAGAGACAATAGTCGGAGAGAAACAGCATGGCGCAGCAGAGACTAGAATTGAAGAGATCGGAGAGGAGCAGTATAGCGAAGTAGAGACGCGAAATGACCAGGGTAGTGAAGATCTTAGAATAGACCAGGAGCCAAATGAAGAATCAACAGGAGAGCTGCCGCACTATTTTTACGGGAAGAATAGGTACAAATGGGCATCGGCGGAACCATCCCGAACAAGTCGAGTACGCGTGCACAATATTGTCAATGCACCATCTCAAGTAAGTCCGTTTAAATTTGAATCTTTCACGGAATTATGGAAACTGATGTTTAGTGATCACATGATTGAAATGATAGTAACTTATACAAACAAGAAATTAGATAGCTATAGGGCTAAGTATAAAGACAGTAGCAGATCTGAACTAGGCTCAACGAATGAGACAGAAATAAAGGCTTTAATTGGGCTATTGTTTTATACATCAGTATTCCAATCAAATCACGAAAATTCAGACTTTATTTTTGCAACAGATGGCACAGGACGGGATATTTTTCGCTGCGTTATGTCCAAAAACAGATTTCTGGTCTTGTTAAACTGTTTGCGTTTTGATAATACTCAAACAAGATCTGAACGATTAAAAGACGATAAACTTGCCGCTATTTCAGAGTTATTTCATGAGTTCATCAGTAATTGCCAGAAAAATTACACTTTGGGTCCTTACATTTGTATAGATGAAATGCTTGTAGCTTTTAGAGGGCGCTGCAAATTTAGAATATATATGCCAAACAAGCCAAATAAATATGGATTAAAAGTTCTCCTGCTGGTTGACGCTCAAAGTTTTTATATATACAATGCTTATGTATATTATGGCACAGGATCTGATGGCCATGGTCTAAGTGATGCAGAGAAACGCTTTTCAATTCCCACACAATCTGTTCTACATCTTTGTAAAGGGATCGATGGCTGTAACCGAAATATAACAGCAGATAACTGGTTTACCTCGATAGAACTACTGCAAGCACTGAAAGATCGTGGATTTACTTACTTGGGCACTATGAAGAAAAACAAGAGGGAGATCCCACCAGAATTTCAGCCTCACAAAGATAGAGTGGTTGGTTCTTCATTATACGGATTCACCAAAGACAATACTATTCTGTCTTACGTGCCTAAGCCTAAAAAAGCTGTATTACTGGTGTCGTCTATGCACCATATCAAAGAGACTGATTCTGCAACTAATAAGCCTATTATGATAATTGACTATAACAAGACGAAAGGAGGGGTGGATGAGGTGGATAAGAAATGCTCGAATTACTCGTGCTCTCGAAGAACTCGACGTTGGCCTATGACTTTGTTTTACAGGTTGATTTGAGCGGTGTTAATACGTATGTATTGTACAACAAGTGCACAAACAAGGGCGACATAAGTCGTGGCCGATTTTTACTCCTGCTGGCTCGTGAATTAGTACTCCCGGAAATGAAATTACGCGTCTACAATGAGAGGATCCCACGGGAATTGCGGCTAAGTATCGAGCGAGTTATTGGACCCGCCGATATGCCCGAGCCTCCACCACCAAAAACTTACCAGGATCCAGATTCAGGTGTTAGAAAAACATGTGCAATCTGTCCCAGTCGGTTGAAAAGGCGAACGAAGTACTGTTGCTGCAAATGCAAGAAACCAATGTGCCTTACTTGCTGCCTACAAATATGCATTGACTGCAAATGTACGTAGTGAATGTACCAAATATTCGAGGGCTGTCATTTTTTTTATTTTTTAACTAATAAGTAAGATTTATGTTTTATTTTGATAATAGTTTATAGAAGATAACATATTTTAAGTTAATTTGTTGTTAATTAGTTAATTTTAGAGAAAAAGAAGACTGAAGTAAGTCCTTAAAATTTATTGCCAAATAATTGAGATCTCTCGAATAAATGTTGATTTTACCAGAAAAATAGCGTGAATTTTTTTTTATTCTGTAGTTTGTCACCTCAAACAACAATTTTTTTAAATGTATAAAATAGAAAAATGTAGCATGAAAATACACATTTTATTCAAGTACTTAAAGTTTGACGTCTCTCAGTCGTCACGTCGGCGTAAGTGCTACGTTTAGACCAGGTCGGCAGCTAAAGGTTAATAGGACATGACATAGGGTCGTCGATAAGGGCAGAAAAACGTCTGCCTGGTGAGCTAGTATACTATAAAATAATATAAATATACAAAACCCAACAAAAACAAGAAATTTCACTATATACAAAACTTATATTACAATCATTTTTAATTTTATAGTTTATTTGTTAAACTTACTATCATGCATCACAATTTAAATTAAATGGAAGTTCCTCAAAAAGTTCCATGTCAGCTACACAATTAGTACATGAAGAATAGTCACTCATATTTTCATCTTCACCATCACAAAGAAAATCCTGAGGTATTTTAAGACTGAATTCCATGTATGGTTCTTTACACAGTTTAACCCATCTTCTTGGTATCTCCTTATCTAAAGACTTTCTAAAAGCCAAACAGTGCATATGTTTAAACTTTTCATATTTAATCCTTGAAAATCCTAAACAAGCTAATGTGTATCGCCAACATTTCATTAATTTTGAATTAGCTCCAACATGTTTTGAATCTGGAGTATTAATTATAAGTAAACCACCTGGCTTTAGGACATAGTAGGCTCTCTTACAAGCTTCTATTCTTAATTCTGAATTAGGTATATATTCAAGAAGAAAACAAAATGTTACTACGTCAAAGTAGTTCTGCTGAAATTGATGTACTTCATGAGCTTCTATAATCAATTTTTTTTCCAATCAAAACATTTAAAAAATCACATTTTAAAACAGAACTGTTTGCTGGACATAAATCAATAGCCAATACATCAAAGAAACCATATTTATTAAATGGATTATAACAACTTCCTACATCAAGTAATTTTAAAGGTAATGAAAATGATTCCATAGTCTTCAATATAATGTTTATTTTGTTTGAAATATCTATCTCTTTTTCATGAAATTTTAAATAGTAATTGTTCACATAGTAACTATAACAAAAGTCTGCAGACCAATTAATCCGAGATACTACATCGTTAGCATTGACAGAACAATTACTTTCCCAATGTATTGTTGCTAACTGTTCCATACACTTTGCATAAGCACTTAAAACTTTCTCATTTTTACAGTGTTCCTGCCATGCCTTCTGAACTCCTATTTTGTAAGAATCCTTCCTAAGAGAGGCGTGAACTTCTTTTATATATTGAGCCAAAAGTTTATGTTCTTCATTAGCCATGATGATTACAAACTACAAGAAAATTCTTTACGCCATAAGTATCAAAAATTATAAATTTAGTTTTATTTTCACGTTTTCCACAGTATAAATCAAATTCATTCGTTCTATTTGTATGATTTGACGCTTTGCATGAAAACATTAATTGGTTCTTTTATTTCTTGTACATACAACTTTATAATTTGTGCTTTTATTTTATCACATTACTAGAAATTGGCAAAAATATTATAATATATATTAGGCATGAGACCGATATATCAAAACGTAACTAATAACGTTATGTTATTAAATATCATATCATATCGATAAACCTAAGTGCAAAACCGTTATCACATATCCAACCAAAACCATATGCCTAACCAACGTACGAAAACGAAACCGAAACGCATATCGCAAACTGTGGAACGATATCCCAAAACTGAAAACGGCCCACTAACCGATGACCTTAGTTGATATTCATCGCTTCTCGTTCTTGCAACGATAGTTTAAAGAAGCATAGAAAGAAATGAAGCGAATATGGATATCGTTGCGATGTTTTGGTAGTTATCACACAACGGTGCACATTGCGAAATATAATATATAGCTAAATCAATAAGGTCGAATGTTAAATAGTTTAAATTGCCTAAATTTTAAGTTGTGTAGTTGTGAGAGTTATCAAATTTCAAATGATCTTTAGCTCATTAGGCACAAGGCTTAGATTTGTAAAACGTAAAACGCAAACACCGGAACGATATGCCAACACGGCCCACTAACTAAACCGATGCGATGTCCTTCATTGATATTCATTGTTTCTTGGTCTTGTGACGATATCATTTTGTATAGAAAGAGAGGATTTCTGTTTTGGTAATTTTAGTTTCACACGGTACGCAATGCACATCTGGATATAATTACCTAAAGAAAAAGGTCGAATTTCAAATGGTTAAAATTGCCTAATTTTTAAGTTTGTGTAGTTGTGAGAGTTGTCAAATTTTAATGATTTTTAGGACAGTAGACACAGGACTTGCATTTATTTTGTATGATCATATTACATTTGGTTTAGGCAACTTTATGTTTATGTTTTTTATATTTTGGATGGAAAGTTTAGAATTTGCTTTTTTCTAGAACGCAACAATTACGCACTTGGTCTTGGTGGCTCGTGCTCGTGCCATTCGCTAAGATACCTAATAACATCCATTAAGTTATTAATTTTTGACGTTACGTTTGTGCATTTATTTGCAATATTTGTGTGTATTTTGTGCATTAGGTAGTTGTAATTCAGACAATTATGTGTAAAGTGTAAATATAATTCAGCATAGTATAGTTTAAGTTGATTAGGACTTTTAATCATTTTTTTTTTTTGAATTTAGACTTTTAAAATGTCGCGTAAGGCTAGTGAAATATGGTCTCACTTCGATAAAAAAGACAATTCCGACCACTTCTTCCACCGGAGCCGAATCAGCGGCTAGTGCAAAACAGGTAAACCTGCGGTTAATAGAGTTGAATTTTGAAATTGAATTCAGAATTCGAATTTAAAACTTTTCTGCTAGTTCTAAGCCTAGTTAAGCATGAAGGAAAATCGCCAACTTAAATAATTGTTAATAAATAAACTAACCAGTGGTAAATGAAAAAAATGACTTTCAATAAGTATTGTTTATAATCTACATTGTTTTGACACACTGTTTTATGCGCGCCTAGTACTTGGACCTGATTATATCACTTTTATTTAATTTTTCAAAACTAATTTATTTTTTAAAGTAAACACTATAATCACACACGCGCACACGTCTTAACGCTGTTGCAGTCCAGGGGGAGAGGAAAAAGCAATTAGATTTGCTACTTCTTCTGCTTCTATTGTTTTCTTCAACGGACACCTACCAACCATGTTTTTTGATAATAAATCCAACTGACCTTCGCTTAGGCCCAAATTTTTTAACAAAAATTAGTTTTCACGAAGCCTGGGTTTACAGAGTTGACTCTGACGCCATCAGGGCCTAACTCCAACGCTGCGCACTTTCTAAAATGATCAATTGCCGCTTTAGATACGTTGTATGCTATTGCCATCGTACTGGGCACACTACTAGCTATGCTGGACACATTCACCACACAACCTTTACTTTCTATTAAGTGCGGAGTGGAGAGCATTGTTAAATAGTAAACAGATCTCATGTTTGTTGACATAATTTTGTCGTAGTCTTCCATGGTTGAGTTTTTTAAACCACCCATAGCAATTATGCAGACATTGTTTATCAAAACGTCCATTCTGACATAATGATCAATAGTTTATTTTTCGATTCTTTCTACATCTAAGTCTTTTGTGACATCAGCTACAATAATCAACGGCTCTATACCTGCCGCTTTTTGGCAATATAAACTGATTGATTTTAACTTATTTTCCTTTCGGCCGACAAGAGCTAATTTCACAGATTGCCTCGAAAAGTAGATTGCAGTAGTTGCGCCTATGCCCGAACTAGCACCAGTTATTAATATTCCTTTGTCTTGAAATTCCATTCTCACTGTAACTTGTTACGTTGACGCAAGTATGGCTAAAGAAACAGAAACAGAATCTTTTTTATTCAATGTAATCTACATTGATCGCAAACTGCAGACTATCATATCTATATCATACTATCATATTCTAGATGGCACCAACCATTACATCAGATTTGATAGACCACAAATCCTCGCGAAAGAACATCGATTCCTACCAAGGATGATACGTGAGGCTATTGAAATTAAAAAACATCCTAATTTTAATAGAGAAAGAGGCTGGGTACTACCACCTGCTTGGGATCTTATAATTAATAAAATTAAAACTAAACCCAAGCATACCACACTGCAAGACTTCAAAATACAGTTAGTTCATTCTGCGTAGATCGGACCAAAGACAATAATTAAAAAGCTGAAGGTACTCCGGGTTAACTTTAACATCGGGACGTCAGTCACCTCAGTCCCCCGTGACCATGGGTGCTGGAAAGCACCCGAAACGTCGGGTATTAAAATTAATATAAATAAAACGCGATAAAATCCGTAAAAGTAGTTTTAATCAATGTATAGTGTTCGCGTAAATATAAGAAATCATTATATAACAATACTTATTGATGGTCACTTTTTTAATTTACCACTGGTTCGCAAAAAAAACCTCTGTCCTGGGAAGAACCAGCAAGAAACCCAGCGGGACTATTTTTTTTCCAATAATAGCTTACAATCATGTTTACAATTAACAACACAAGACAAATTAGAAATAGCTTGGTAGCGATCACCCTTCCCAGGGGTTATTATCATCCATAAATTCCTTAATATTATAATAACCCTTTTTATACAAGCTTAGTTTAATAAATTTTTTGAACTTTCTGCTATGACAAATTTTGTATATTTTCTGGGATTTTGTTGTAAAAGCGTATACATCGCCCCAAGAATGAATTACTGACTCGGTGGAGTCGAGTAACTGGTACTACTAGCTTGTGTCTGCTCCTAGTATTTACAGAATGAATATCACTTATTTTCGCAAAACTACTTTTATTTTTGTGTACGTACATTACATTTTCATAAATGTATTGAGAGGCCAGAGTTAATATTTTGATTTCCTTAAATTTTTGTCTCGGTGACTCTTTTGGTTTTAAATTATATATTGCTCTAATGGCCCTCTTCTGCAAAATAAATATAATTTCAGTGTCAGTCGCGTGTCCCCATAGCGAAATACCATACGACATAATGCTATGGAAATAACTAAAGTAAACTATTCTAGCTGTTTCAACACTGGTAAGAGTTCTAATCTTTTTTACAGCATATGCTGCAGAACTAAGTCTGCTAGCTAGTTTTGATATATGGGGGAGCCATTGAAGCTTTGCGTCCAGTGTGATTCCAAGAAAAATGGTGGTTAGTATTGACATGTTTAACATTAGGAGTGACGAATTTCATACATTTAGTTTTAGTTCCATTCAAATGCAAATTATTAACATTAAACCAATTGACTAACTTAGCTATAGCATTATTTACTTCGTCGTAATTTAATAACTGTCGTTTTAATTTGAAAATTAATGAAGTATCATCAGCAAATAATACTATATCATGGTTATCCCCTACTATGTAAGGTAAGTCATTAATATATACAAGAAACAGAAAGGGGCCGAGAATTGAGCCCTGAGGCACGCCCATTTGTACAGTCGACCCGGAAGATCTCATATATTGATTACAACTTTTTGCGTTCTGTCACTTAAATATGAAATAATTAATTTAAGAGCATCGCTTCTTACACCGTAGTGTTGAAGTTTCCTGATTAATGTTTCATGGTGAACACAATCGAAGGCCTTGGATAGGTCACAGAACACACCCAAAGCATCCTGTGAATTCTCCCATGCATTAAATATATATTTAATCAGCTCAACACCAGCATCAGTTGTCGAGCGACCCCTTGTGAAACCGAATTGATTTTTATGAAGTAAATTATTTACGTTAAAAAATTTAACATTTGATCAAGAATATTTTTTTCAAAAATTTTACTAAGTGTTGGCAGTACAGAAATAGGTCTAAAATTAGCGGGGTCCAATGTACTACCAGATTTAAATAAAGGTATTACTTTACTATGCTTCATTAAATCAGGAAACACACCAGATTCGATACTAGTATTAAAAATAATAGATAGTTGAGGTGCGATTATATCTATTATAGACGCAATAACTTTAACGGAAATCCCCCACAGATCGGCGGTTCTCTTAATATCAATAGTCTTAAAATATTTTACAATATCTTTTGATGACACTTTATGAAATGTAAAATTCTTTGTACACACATTTACATTTTGTTTAAGTAATGATTCGGCGACGGCAGGAGAAGAATTCAGTGACTTAGTGGTTAAGATCGGAATATCAGTAAAATATTTCTCAAAACCATTCAACATCCTGATCTGATTTAGTTAATTTATTTTTAAAACTTAACTGGTAGTTCGAATTGCGAGAGTTGACCTTACCAGTTTCACTATTAATTATACTCCATGTCATTTTAATTTTATTAGAAGCGTCTTTATTTTGTTGCTCAAGTACAATGACTTGGCTAAGGAGCACACTCTTTTAAATATTTTGGAATATTTCTTTACATATTCCCTAAATTCGACGCTCGGATTATATGACCTTTCATTGTAAAGTTCATATAACCTTTGTCTACTCTTATGGACTCCTACTGTCGCCCATTCATTAAATGCCTTGCGATTGTTCAAGGAGAATGTTTTAGAAGTAAAAGTATTATTAAATTCATTGCAAATGAGCTTAAATAATGTTCCATACAAAAAAATTTGGATTATTTTGGTATGAAAGTAATGGAAGTTTTTTTACTATGTTACTTCTAAACTTCTCCAAGCGATGTGCATTTACTGGAACAAACACTACTTTTTTATCTACTTGCTTTTTGTGAACATAAGGTAATGAAACTAATTGTGCAGAGTGATCAGAGCTCAATTTTTGAATTATACATTTATTGAACGGCTTAACATTTGTAAAAATGTTATCTATACATGTTGCACGTACGTGTTGGCTCCAAAAATAAATTAAAAAGACCATAAGATTTAAACAATGAGCTAAATTTAATATTGGTGGAGGAAGCTTTGGAGATGATATTGTACGCGCTCAAGTCGACGGCACCAGCGCCATCTAGTCTCGAACCGAAGAACTAAACTTCTTGAAGTTTAAAACTCGAACTCTCGGTACCTTGCGCGTGTTTACTTGAACATTCTGGATATTTCTTTGCTAATTTATATAAGTAGGCGCTGCAAGATGCGATCGAGGAAGTATTCGGCGAGACAAGCGAAGCTTCGGAGCGGAATAAAGTGAATCAGTGTGTTTAATTATTAGTATTTTTAAGTTTAATTTGTGTAAAGTGAATTAAAGTGTTAATTTAGGTAATTCTATCGGCAATTTTTATTGTCACGAACCTCAAGCTCGTAACAATTGGTGTCAGAAGTGGGATAAAATCATGCCGATTTTACCTAAGGAGGAAACGGAGGGTGTCCGTACCCGAAGTCAACGCCAGCAGGAGACGGACCAACGAAGATTTGGTGGTGCAACGCCGCAGACGTCGGAGGGCCAGCCACCGGCTGCAGGCCCGTCGGTAGCTCCTACATCTGCAGCACCTGACTTAGGTGCTCTGATGGTGATGCTGCAGGAACAGGCTCGCCGACAGGAGGAGCAGGCTCGCCGACAGGAGGAGCAGGCTCGCCGACAGGAGGAGCAGGCTCGCCGACAGGAGGAGCAGGCTCGCCGACAGGAGGAGCAGGCCCGTCAGTTGAAAGAGCAGCTGCAGAGCGGACAAGAGGAACAGGCCCGCCGACAGGAGGAACAGATGCTCCTCATGAAGGACCTTCACGCTACCTTTGCGAAAGAGATAAGGGAGGTGAAGGATAGGGTTGCTCAACATGACAACCGCCTGTTGGAAGCTGAAACCCGAATCGAAGAACATGAAACCCGAATCAACCATGTGAACAATCGGGTTGACAACGTGATGGCTGACGTGAAGAAAACGCTGGACGAACTCAAACTTGGGGATGGAACTACAGCTCCCGTAGTAGCTACAGCACCTTCGCTACGTGGATTCAAAGTGCCGGTTCGAGGCTTTCCTGGTCGGCCTATAAAATCCAGTTCGAGGCCGTCATGGAGGCGAACGACTGGAATAAAAGCCAGGCCATGACTGCACTCACCTTAGGCCTGCGCGACCAGGCCTTAACCGTGTTGGAAGCTCTCGGTAAGAAAGTGACCTACGAGCGGCTCCTTGAGGCATTGGAGGCGAGATATGGCGACGCTCACCTGGAACACGTCTTTCGCGCGCAGCTTAAAGATCGTGTGCAACGCAGCAACGAAAACCTGCAGCAGTGGGCCCTTGAGGTGGAGAAGATGGTTCGAAAAGCATACCAGTCTGTACCTGCGCTCATTGAAGGGAACCTGGTGCAGACATTCATCGACGGCATCCGCGACCTGGAAGTCAGAGCTGCTGTGAGGCTCGGGCACCACGAGACGCTTAAGGACGCCTTGGCCCATGCACTGGAGGTAGAAGCCGTGCGGCAGGATCATCGTTCCCATCGCGTCAGGGAGGTTGCAGCAGCTACAGTTCGCGACCGCAACAAAGGATACAGCCCTAGGTGCTATGGCTGTGGGGAAAAGGGCCATCTTCGATCCAGCTGCCCTAAGCGAACCCTAGAAAGGGAAGGTGAACGATCCCAGGAGGGTAGTGCGGCCAACAGCACCGCCCAGCAGCAGCAGGGAAACGAGTAAAAG